TGCTTCCTACTTCCTGTTGCAAGTTCCCCTTAGACAGCCTGCTCCCTTCCCCTCTGCCTTGCGGTGGGAGGGAGTCCACGCGCTCCAGGCCAAGGTCAGCCCGAGGGTCAGGCCCAGCTCAAGGTCAAGCTTGCCAAGTACCCCCACATCTTCCTCTCCACCCCACACCCTGGCAAGCACCCTCAGTCGCTTTCGTTCTTGAATTTGGAGTGAGGAGGCTGACACCTTGGAATGCAGGGTCTGATAGAAAAATGGAGAGATGGATTAAAGGGAGGAATAAAAAGAAGGGAGGGTAGAGGAGGGAGAGGGAGGGACGGGAAGGAGAAGGGAGGGGTTTGAGTCCGGGTCACTCCACCTCCCGCCCAGGTAATGAGCCTGGGAAAGCAGCAGAAAATAGCCCAAGGACTCAGACCCCCACCACCTCTGGGGGAGACCTGGAGAGAGCTACAAACTTTTGAAACCTTGGTTTTCTGTAACGGCCCTCTTCCTATTATATATATATATATATTCTTTTTTTATTGATTACATTGCATTATGTGACAGTTTCAAAGGCTCTGGGATTAGCCGTCCTGATTTCTAATCCAGAGGCCTGAAAAACTTACACGGGAAATACATATTATGAAAAGCTCTTTGCACACAAATAAGCATAAGCATATAAATCCTTTTACTGCTTTCTCCATAACCATTCTGAAGTCCCCTCGTTGTCTGTAGGAGAGTGAAAAGGGGCATGCATTGGTCTGACCTCTCCATCGCATCTAAGCTCCAACAACGGGCGGTAACACTACAGAGCCAATGGCTGGAAGGAAACTGGCCCCGTTACAAAGCGATTTATAACAACCTTAATTCAAAAATGGGGGAAAAAACTAATTTATTTCTAACATTTCAAGGTTTTGTCCCTCGAGCAAGAAAGACAGGGACCTTCTTGGACTTTGCCTTGGAAAATAATCCAGAAGTTTACCGCCAGCCATGTCCGAGATGGGGGCCGAAGTCAGACGGCGGCACCAGCCATGACTGACACGGAGGGGGTCCTGAGAGCGAGCTGTCCAACTTGCAGGGGGAGACAATCCTGCAGACTGGAATCAGGACGTGAAGGTCAAGATCACAGCACCAGCACGGCCAGAGCAGGAAGGTCAGGACAAGAGGCTGTTCCCAGGCACTCAGCCGGACAGCACACAGTGTCCAGTGCAGCTGGCCCCCTCCTTGGAAACCCCAGCCCAGCTGATTCCAGAACAGGTCCTGAGAATGGCCTCAAGGTGGTGGTGGTGGGGGGGAGCGTCGTCGTTAGCGCCACAGCTCCCGTTTCCTGTACTGTGACATAGCTGCCTTTTGCGACTGTCTTCAGAGTCAAGTTCAAACTAAGGCACACAATAAGGAGAGACAGAAGGGAAGGTACTGAGAACTGTCTCCATGGAAGTTCAGGGCAAGGAAAGCAAACCTCTACAGGAATGGGTAGGTTGGAGGGATAGCCCAAATCCCCCTGGGGCAGGGGCAGGAGGTCAGGGGAGACAGGAGAGGGCAAGAGACATTCAAGAAGGAAACTTCTGAAAAGGGGGAAAATAAACAGTGCTGGGAAAGGCAGGAGTAACTACAGACTGATTCTTCTGAAACAAAGATGGCCCAAACAACACAATATTTTAAAGGCTCATGACCTCTCTTAACAGCAGCCTCCCTGATGTTCAAAGAAAATGCGGTTTGGGGAGCCTGTAGGAAACAAAAGATATGTGTGGTTGAAAGCTGGCTGGGCCCTCTCCGCCAGCGAGATCACCAGAGCAGGCACGCAGCCACATTCAGTTTATAAATAGCCCATTAGAGCTGAGCTCTCCGACTTGGAGAATTGCAAGTCCTCCGCTCAGGCGATTGCGTTTCCCCTACTGCTCCCCGAGAACAGCAATGTCACGGGCACAGAGCTGCGACACCCGCCCATCGGAGGGCACGGCGAGATGATGACTACACGGCATCTCCTTCTCCTGCCTGCTGGTCTTTTACAAAGTGCCAGGGCCAGTACAGAGGACCCAGGCATCGGCCTCTGAAGTCCCCTGAGCGAGGGCTGCTCCACTTGTGCTCCAGCTCCCTGCTGATGAACCCGGGAAAGCAATGACGGATGGCTCTCATGCTTCCCTTCCCACTGCTTCCCGGGCGGGGGCCCAGACGGGTTTCTGGCCTTCCTGGTTTGGCCAACCCCAGCATCTGGGAATCACCCTGCCTTTCAAATGGATAAATAAATACATAATATCACCCCACTGGGGGAAAGAGATGGCACTACCCATGGTGAGAATTATGTGCACAGAACAAAGTTCCCTTTGAGTTCTCCGACTTTCCACTTCTAAACTCGCACAAGGGGATCCGGCACAGTGGTGGGACAAGTTAATCCTTCACAGGCAGGCTTCTCATGTGGGCATCGACTCGTGTCCCAGCTGCTCCACTTCCCATCCTGCTCCCTGCTTATGGCTTGGGGAGGCAGAAGAGGACGGCCCACAACCTTGGGACCTTAAAGAGGCTTGGCTGCCAGCTTTAGATCTGTCCAGCTCTGGCCATTGCAGTCATTTGAACCAGGGGATGAAAGATATCTCTCTCTCTCTCTCTCTCTCTCTCTCTCTCTCTCTCTCTCTCCCTCTCTCTGTTTCTTCTCTCTATGTAACTATGACTTTCCAAGTAAAATAAATGAGTCTTAAAAAAACATTAAAATTAAATCCAATTAAAAAGCCACCAGCTGACCATCTGGAGGGGTATGCTGCCTTGTGCCACCTCCCACGCAGGACTGTGAAGATGAGTTTCACAGTCACACGGCCCTGAATCTAAAGGTAGACACGGCTTAGCTCTTCTGGGCCTTTTTCCTCATTTGCCAAGTGGAGACAATAGCTTTAACTTACTTCACAAAGCATCAAGAGGACGCAAAAGTGGGAGCACACTGCCTAACACACAGAGAAAGCACAGGGATACACATGGCAGGTGTTCCAGTGTGTGTGTGTGTGTGTGTGTGCGCGCGCGCGCGCGTCTGCCCATGGACACAGGACCCGGCTACCATAACAACTGCAAAGTTGCTCAGGGCAGGACAGGCAGCTGCAGGCAAGCGGGCCACTTGCAAAGGCACCTGTTACCCCTGGTTCCTCTTCAGCATCCTATTCCATCCCTCCAAAGACTCCAAAAGGGAGGTTACACAAGGAAGGTTAAACCCTAGAAGGTAAGAGAATCCAGATGTGTCTACTTGGCTTCCAGAAAAGGGAACCTGCAGGAGCAGGCTGCTGCCTCACCCGCAGAGGAGCGGAGGAGCATAGCAGCCCGGAGGGCCTTGGAGAAATGACCCGACCTCAGCACCACGGTGTCCCCCAGGCAGGGAAGGGACTTTCAGAAGCAAGCTCAGAGATCAAACCTGAAAGGTTGGGAGAGCTGCACAGCAGGGAAGCAGAAGAGAGGGGAGGGGAAGGGAGCCCAGGGGAGGGTGGCAGCCACCCAAGACTTGCAGCCAAGCCAGTGAGGCCTTCCAGTGCCTCACTGAAGAAGACAGGCAAGGACTCAGCAGCCCTAGCCATTCCCAGCCCGTCCGCAATCCAGTCTCTGAAATGGGCTTCCAGGCCTGGAATTCTTCTTTTCCCATATGAGAACACTTGCTCTGCTTCCTTCCCTTCCAAAAGCCTGCACAGATGAGCCAGACGGCAAGGAGACCTGTCCCCCTCACTGGGGTAAGGAACCCAAAGGGCTCCCAGTGGGAGGGGACAGGAGACAACCAAGCCCATCCAGGGTGGGAACTGCATCCGACTCATTCCACCTGCCACGGAGCCACCTCCTCCCTCCCCTCCACCACCCCAGAAGTGCAGGCTGAATGTACGCAACACACTTTATTTGGGGGGTCGGGTGGGACTTCTCCCGCTCGCCTGCTGGCTGGCGGGGGTGCCAGCTCTTAGGGATCTATTTGTCTTTCAGTAAAAATACTGGGCTGAAGACCTGCGGCTCACTGTTGATGAAATTTCCAGGGCTTTACTTCCTGACATGGCAAAAAGATCATGAGCAAAGGTTTAAAAAAAATCTGTAAACTCCTGCCCACCAAATCGCAGGTCGTTTCCTGCACTTGGGCAGTCCCCCCATGTGTGAAGTCAGCTAGGCCCCCCAGCACAGTCGCCACAGGAGCGCCACAGACAGCACAAGTTCAACATAAACAAATAAATAATTGAAAAGGAAGGCTGACCAAGCGGGCCAAAAGAATGGTAGCCGCAAAAGCAGCTGGGTGGGCCTCTTGTCCCCAGGCTGCAGGCGCCACCTGGCTCATCTCGGCTCTCGCCTTTGGGCGACCGCATACAAAACCATCCCATCCCACGATCCCTCCATTGCAACAGAAAGCAAGAACTCCGCTTCTCTCCAACCTCCTGCTTTCCAGTGGCTCCACGCTTTGCCACCAAGCAAACAAGCAAGATATCAAGAAGAACACGGATGCAAATCTGAAACCGTTGCCTCAAAGGCGTAGGTACACTCTACCCTCCTCCGAAAAGACCCACTTGAAGCCAGAAAAGGAGCTCGCGAGGGGGGGGGGGGAGGGCAGGTGGGGCAGACGGCAGATGACAGCATCAAAAGGGGAAGCTGCAGCTCGAACCTGGGCTCACCAGCAAGGAAGGAAGCGGAACCTTTATGCGAAAGGCAGAGGGCAAGACCGGCTGGGGCCGGGGGGGCGGGGAAGCAGGGTGCTGGGGCTGGCCCTGCCGCGCCTCCCCTGGGGGACATGTCTGGACAGGGGCCACTTTCCTTCCCACACGGCCTGGCCTCATCTCCCCACCACCACCACCAGCAGCAGCACGCCCCACTACGCCTCTCCCCTGCACACGCCCACTTCACCCACTCCCATCTCCAGTCTCTCTCTTTTTTAAATTGCTTTCCAATTTTTGGTGAAATAAATCTTCAGGACCGCAGCAACCAAAAACCAAGAAACAAAAAATAAAGCGGGAGAGTTGAGACGTGAGGAGGGTGGAGCAGGCAAGAGAAACAGACCGCGCGCTCCCCGAGGGGCATACCCAGCTGGGCACCGAATCGGCTCCGGAGCGCGGCTCTCCCGACGATTCGCCTCCCTGGCACCGAGGCCCGAGGATGCACCCAGAAGTCAGGGAAAGAGCAAAGCGACTTCCTACGCCGTGCAAGCCAGGGCCTGTCAAAGTCCAGAGCTAATGGGGCGACGGCGAGTAGGCAGCGGCGTGTCCGCGGCCCGCGGGCTGCCCGACAGACTTGCCTGGGACGGTCTCAGCTCGGTTCCCTTCGCCGCGCAGCCGTTGTGGGGCCGGTGCCCCGGCGCCACAGCCCGCGGAGAAGTTTTCGCCGCTGCAAACGTGAGAAAATGCAGCTCCGCACAACCCCCGCCCCCGCCCGCCCCCGCGGCTCCACCCCCGCCGCCCGAGCGCTGGCTGGCGGCGGCGACCTTGGGCATCCCGGCCGCTCGGGGCCCGGGAGGAGGGGCTGCCCTCGGGGTGGGAGTGGACAGCGGAGAGGTCAGGTGCAGGCCGCGGGCTCCCCCAAAACCGGGGGGTCGCCGGAACCCTCCCGCGCGCGCTAGGACGCCGCACTCACCCCACCACGCCGTGCCGGGGGTTGGCGCAGGGTGGGTTACACCGGGGGAGCGCCCACGTCCCCGGCCGCGGAGTCCTCCAGGCTCCTGGGGGAGCGAGGGGTGCGGATGCGGGGGAGGTGGCGCGTGCCGGGCGAAGGGGATTGCTTGGCGTCGCTGCCAAACTCCCGGAGACCCGTCGCTCCTCCCGCCCTCCCCGCAGCCTCGGCCCCCTCCTCCTCCTCCTCCTCCCGGGGCCCTTTTTTCCGGGTTAATTGCGTTTCAAGAGAAAGCAAAACCCAGCCCCGGATGTGAGTACAAAGCTCGGCGGGCTCCGCCGAAGGGTGGAGGTTGAGGGGCGGGTGCCCGGGGCGCCGAGGCTGGGAGGGAGGATCGCGGCGGGCTGCGCGGAGGAGGTGTGGGTGCGGGAGCGGCGCGCAGGTGGGCGGCGTGCGCCTCGGACGGCTTTCCTCTCCCACCCTACCCTCTGACCCGGGAGGCTCCTCCCCGCGCCCGGAGCCCGGTGCCTGGGCGACAGCTGTCCCGGCCGGAGGAAGAAGGCGAGCTCCCCATTTTGTGCAGCTTCTAGCGTCCCGCTCCACGCCTCCCACCATGCCTGATCCGCGCAGTTACGTTAGGGTTAGGGTGGAAAGGCCAGTGGATCCTTTCGGGTTGTCAAGGATAAGGTTCCCGCAGTCCCCGTGGGCCTTAAACTCGCTGCTGACCGGGCTTCTCGAGACTCTACCCGGGAGATGGGGCGCACCGCCCGACTTACTCTCGCGGCCACCTGTGGATGCCCTGCGTCCCCCCGCTGGCCAGCAGGCAGGTGTGGCGGGGTCCTGATGGCGACCTCACTGGGGACAGGATCCTGGGATGGCCGCCTGGTAGGGCGCACCGGTGATGGGTGGAAGCTATGGTCTAGCGGGTTGAACTGCTGCCTGGAATCCAGCGCCCTGCTGGTGGCACATCCTGGCAGGCTACACACGATGGATAGAGCAGGTACTAGGGCCCCTGAGTTGAGGGAGAGAAACCCCTGTGGTGCTCCTGGCTCTGGCTGGGCCCAACACGCCAGAGGAGTTAAACAGCGTGTGAAAGATCTGTGTGTGTGTCCAATACACAAATCTTAAATCAAGGGTGAACCCAGGAGCTGGGGTTGTCAGGGGAAGGGAGAGGGTGCTTCCCAGTGCTGGGGTTAGGGAGAAGGCAGGATTTCAGGTTTTGACAGGCGCCATGCTGGAAGGGAAACAGGCAGAAGTGAAACAGCAGCCAATGCCCCCAAAGCCCCAGTGAGGAAGCCACTTAGGTTTCCTCTTCCATTTTGATGAGCAAAGCAGAAATGAGCTAGGGGACACGCTCAGGTGTGAAAGAAGACGGTTTGCTTTAGAAAGTTTTGCTATGAATGAGGGAGCAAAGAAGGACACCAGAGCAGAGCAAAACCAGTCTGGCGAAATAAATGTGTACAGGGCCCATGTGTTCCGTCCGTGTATGGTCGCAGGTGTGTCTAGGGCAGGAGGGAGAGATGTTAGGCAAAGCAGGATTTGATGCCACCTGTGGCTTTGGCATGCCGTCTTTGAGTACAGGCTGCTCCAACCCCAGCTCCGCTTCTGACCGAGCTCCCTGCAAATGTACCTGAGACAGAAGCAGAAGATGGCCCAAGTGCTTGGACCCCTCTACCCATGTGGGAGACCCTGAGAAAGCTCCCGGCTGTAGCCAAACCCAGCCTGGCCCACTGGAGCCAACTGGGGAGCAAACCAGCAAATCAACCTGCCCTCTGTAACTCTGCTTTTCAAAGAAACAGTTCAAACTTAAAGGGTCCATGAAGTAACACTGGTAAAGTGTTTAGCTTACTATGAAACATGAAGACTTTCATGGATTTTTAAAGTTTTAGAAGCAGATGATCATGTTTAGCATAAAAAGGAGCCCAGTTCATCCAGCTACAAGCAGATCTGACGGATTTACGAGCAGAGTGATGAGGCGAGGGCGTCAGGTTTCATGGTATGATTTCTATTAAAAACCCATAAAACTCTACTCCCTGTGCAGCTGGCCCGACTCCCTCACCCTCAGTGCCACACACACGTGGTCTGTATGCAGTGCCCGGGAGGCAGGCGGCACCCAAAGGTGCCAGCCTCCCTGGGGTAAACACCATTTGTGTCTAGCCTCTAATATATACTTTTGTTATTTCTTGATTGACAACACTTTCAAACTATTTCCATTGTCTGAAATTATACATCAACATTTTAGTACAATAAAAATGCCTGATGTCAGAACCTGGGACTCAACTTCCGGGGAAAGCAGTGTTGAGAAATGCTGCTTGTGACTGCCATTGTGCGGTAACCGATAAAGCCAGCTGTAGGAGGACATTGTGTCCCTGGAAGGTCAGCAGCACAGGATTGCAGTTCATTGGACAGTATTTGCATGATAACAACCTAATGGCTACCTTTTGTATACCTGTTGGGAGATAGTTCTGTAAGGCTCTAGTAAAGAGCATGTAAATGAGAGCACCTGGTGTAATATACAAAACAAAAGGAGTTCCAATCTAGAGTTTGATAACAGTTGATGGGTTTGTTGATAAGCTCAATACTTCCTCCCCTACCCTATAGGGACTCTCAGCGTATAAAGTCTGATGCCCCTAATAAACTTCGGCTTTGACCATCAGTCAGGGTCCACGCGTGTTATTATCGGCTCCGTCGCTGCGGGACAGCGACAGCCAGCTCCCTGCTTATGCAGCTAGGAAAGCCAGATAGCCTAAGTGTGTGAGCCCCTGCTGCCCACCCATGTGGGAGATCCTGGCCCAGCCCTGGCCATCGGGGCCATTGGGGGGAGCGAATCAGCAGATGGAAGATATTTGTCTCTCCCTCTGTCTCTGCCATTCAGACTTTCAAAGAAATAAGTCTTTTCTCCAAAGCAGCCATCCGACATCATTTATCCCAGTTCCCTCCTGGAGCCAACATAAAATCAGGTTTGATAAATGACTCAAGGTTTGAGTCCGTGAGTTAGGATCCTGTGGCATTAGCAGAAGACCTTTTCCATGTAGGTAGGAACTTCTAGCTCAAAACCCTAAAAAAAAAAAAAAAACCGTCAGGGCAGAAAGCTTTGTAGTCTAACCGTTGATTTATGTACTTTGTGTTAATGGTCAGTGTCCCTGTCTGGGTAACGAGATGAGCTAATACCCTCCGCTGGTGAGCCAGTGGACCCGCAGGGAATTAATCTCGTTATTCCTGGAGCCTCAGAAGGACCTGTTACATAAGGTACCACACTGCAGCCTGGGCTAGTTAGTTCTCTCTGGCAAAGTGTGGGACCAAAGAGGCCAAGGTCATTGGTTCATCCTGCTTCAGGACAGTGAATTTTGCAGGTAACTGCTTCAAAGCCACGCGCTGCACTTGTCATGAAAGCTGGGCGTTTTATAAATGTGTGCTATTGACCAAACCGTGAATGGCTCTGCACCATTCATTTCCACAGAGATTGTTCAATTGTATTCAACAAAGAACGGTCTGAACCTAGTACCACTTTGCCTTCCTTATAGCTGGCGTGGACTGATTGCTCAGGTAAGCACTAAATACCAGCTGCTTTACGTTTATTATCTCACTCAAGTCTTTGAGATTTATTTATTTTTATTTGAAAGGCAGATTTACAGAGAGAAGGAGAAATGGAAAGATCTTACATTTGTTGGCACACTCCCCACATGGCCACAAGAGTCAGGGCCGAGCTGATCAAGAGCTAGTAGCTTCTTCTGGGTCTCCTGCGCAGGTGCGGGATCCCAAGGAATTGGGCCATCCTCTACTGCTTCCCTGGGTCATACTCAGGGAAGCTAGATGGGAAATGGAGCAGCCGGGACATGAATCAGCACCCATACAGGATGCTGGGCACGTGCAGGTAGAGAATTAGCCTGTTGGGCCACAGTACCAGCCTTGATCTCCTTGAAGTCTTACAACCACACGAGCAGCTCAGAGGTGTTCTAGTTCCTATTTTATGCTGTTGGGACTAAGGCAGAGAGATGAAGACTGGATACAAATCATGGGCAGCCTGAGCTACAGCCTTCTAAAGAATCTACAAAGGCATAAAAAGGACACTTTGCATGGCTTTTCCCATCAGATTGTTCAGAATCTTCAGCCTTATCACCTAGCAGCTCTGTGTCCCTGTAGAGTCATGTGGTCTGTGCACACACACACACACACACACACACACACACACACTCATAGGTACTGGGGACTTCAAAAACGGAGTGCAAATGGCATTGATTTTGGTGCAAAATGGGTTTTGAAACCCATGGACAATATTTTCCAGTGAAGACATGATATATATTGACTGCAGCATTGTCTCTCGTGGAACTCATTTTCATGTTTGCTGATAAGAGATTAAGCAAGTAAATGACACAGCATAGAGTCTTACACTGTGCTGCTGCTAGGAAAGAGAGGGGCCCGGCGGCATGGCCTAGTGGCGGAGGTCCTCGCCTTGCACGTGCCAGGATCCCATATGGGTGCTGGTTCTAATCCCGGCAGCTCCACTTCCCATCCAGCTCTCTATGCTTGTGGCCTGGGAAAGCACTCCAGGGCGGCCCAAAGCTTTGGGACCCTGCACCCACGTGGGAAACTCGGAAGAGGCTCCTGGCTCCTGGCTTCGGATTGGCGCAGTACTGGCCGTTGCACTCACTTGGGGAGTGAATTATCGAATGGAAGATCTTTCTCTCTGTCTCTCCTCCTCTCTGTATATCTGACTTTGTAATAAAAAAGAAAGAAAAGAATGACAGGGCCCAGGGTTGTGGCGCAGCACGGAGCCGCTGCTTACTACTGGAGCCCCATATCCAAGAGCTCATTCCAGCCCCAGCTGCTCTGCTTCTGACGCAGCTCACTGCGCGTGCGGCTGGGAACAGCAACAGATGGCCCAAGTGCTTGAGTCCCTGCCACACAGGAGGGAGTTTCTGGCATCTCATGGTTGTTGTGACCCTCTGGGGAGCGAACCACACGCTGTCCCTCTGATTTTCAAAAGAAAATCTTAAATAACATCTCCACGAAAAATACCAAATATTTTAAGTAAAAAAAAAAAAATACAGAGTTACATATATGTAGTATAATCCCACTTCTCTGAATGCATTTTTGCGCAGCTACATGTTTTTATTTGCATCCATGTATTACCCCAGACATGTCTAGGAGAGTCATCCCAGACTGGCACAGTTGTCTTAGGGTGGTGGAGGTGGAGGCGGGGGGCCCAAGGGTGCTCACATTGATGATGCTCACGTTCTGGCATGTACAGCATTCTGCTGCGTTTGTTTATTTGCAACAAGTGCGCATGCATTTTGGTTCTAAAAAAAATGATTTAAATCTTTAATCAGATGTAAAAGCTTTACGAGAAATATCATCATTTTGAAACCCTCCTCCTGTAGCAGGGAGGGGCCACAGCACACACAGACATGACTTTCACAAAAGCCAGCAACAGAGAGCAGCAGACAGAGAGAGGAGCCTCTGGGAAGCTTATCGGCCAGGTACCATTGAGAGGCACGGGGGGAAATGTCTGAAGAAGGTGGTCCTTGGGACCAGCCTTGAAGAGAAAAAAGAGCATGTGGAGAGATGGGGAGGCAGGTGAGAATGGGCAGGTTCCAGATGAACATTCCAGCACGCAGTGCAGAGGCCTGGAGTCTATTCAGAGATTTGCAGCTGGTGCAACTGGGCTACGGCACTGGAGGCAAACGAAACATTTTTGTGGGAAAACAAACAGGAAAAAAGGTGGCTAGGTCCTTGACAGCTAAACCAAGTCAATTCTGTATGTATTGCTTTAGGGTTCAGAAGTCACAGAAGGGGGCCCGGCAGCGTGGCCTAGCAGCTAATGTCCTCACCTTGAACACGCCAGGATCCCATATGGACGCCGGTTCTAATCCCGGCAGCTCCACTTCCCTTCCAGCTCCCTGCTTGGGCCCTGGGAAAGCAGCCAAGAACAGCCCAAAGCTTTGGGACTCTGCACACACCTGTGTGGGAGACCTGGAAGAAGTTCCTGGATCCTGGCTTCAGATCGGCATAGCATCGGCCGTTGCGCTCACTTGGGGAGTGAATCATCGGACGGAAGATCTTCCTCTCTATCTCTCCTCCTCTCTGTATATCTGGCTTTCCAATAAAAAAATATAAATCTTTATATATATATTAAAAAAAAAAGTCACAGAAGGGCTTTGGGCAAGAAAGGGGAACAATCACCCAACGGGAGAAGCAGTCATTTCTGGCTTGACAGGTGCCTGGGAGCCAGGGTCTAACACCTGTCTGCCCGGGTCTGCCTCCCATGGCTGCCCTCACTTAGCAGAGTAGCCATGGGTCGGTTCCCTTCCTTCCCTGTTTGCCTAAATTGGGAAAGGTGATGAGCGTGTGAGGAGTCAGAGGGGATAGTAGACAGTTAGAGGTTTTCTGATCCCCAATTTTTTAAAACCTTTTTGTGTTTGTCCCCCATGGTTTTACATCAATTCACCCTCTAGAAGTGACCCAGCTGGTCTCATCTCTGGGCCACTGTCAAGGAGACGGCTACTACCTCCATGATCAGCTCATCTTCAGAAGGGGAAGGAGGAAGTTAACTTATCCCACCCTCCTGGTGCTGTTGAGAACAGCTTATTTCCTTTGTCCTTTGGGTAACACCCCTGCCACTATGGCAGGGGGGGGTCTCAGGACACATGGAGCCCCCCTCCTGCCACCGTGGCAGGAGCCCTTTTCCCCTTGTTTCCCTAAAAAAATCCTGCACTGCAAACCGGACTTGTCCACATGAAAATTCTTCTCTTGTATGAGACAGGAAGCAAGGTTGCTGCCATGTTCTGCTTCGAAACATCCTACAACAACAGATAATGTGCTCACGTCGGAGTTGTTGGAACTGATTTAATGTGTGGGGGCTGATGCTCGGTAAATGCTAATAATGCAAAAACAAAACAAAACACGTTCCCGGGACAGGTGTCGTGGCCCCCGGGTTAAGTGACTGTCATATCACGGCCTCCCATGCCAGTGAAAGTTTGAGTCGGGCTGCTCCATTTCCAGTCCAGCTCCCGGCTAACGCACCCGGGAAGGGGGCTCAAGTGCTTGGGCCACGTGGGAAACTTGGATGGAGTTCAAGACCCTTGCCCTGGCCCAGTCCCAACAATCGCAAACATTTGGGCCGTGAACTAGTGGGGGCAAAATCCCCAATCTCTACCTCTCCCTGTCACTCTGCCTTTCAAATAAATTAAATATTTATTTTATTTTTATTGGAAAGGCAGATATACAAAGAGTAGAGACAGAGAGGAAGATCTTCTGTCCAATGATACACTCCCCAAGCAGCTGCAATGGCCAGAGCTGAGCTGATCTGAAGCCAGGAGCCTCTTCAGAGTCTCCCACACGGGTGCAGGGTCCCAAGGCTTTGGGCCGTCCGGGAGTGCTTTCCCAGGCCACAAGCAGAGAGCTGGATGGGAAGCCGAGATCCCGGGATTAGAACTAGAGCCCACATGGGATCCCGGTGTGTTCAAGGCAAGGATCTTAGCCACTAGGATATTGCGCCGGGCCTTCACATTTACTTTTGAAACTTGTATTACGGGCCCGGCGCGGTGGCGCAAGTGGTTAAGGTCCTCGCCTTGCACACCCGGGATCCCATATGGGCGCCAGTTCTAATCCCAGCAACCCTGCTTCCCTTCCAGCTCCCTGCTTGTGGCCCGGGAAAGCAGTTGAGGATGGCCCAAAGCTTTGGGACCCTGTACCCGCGTGGGAGACACGCAAGAGGCTCCTGGCTTTGGATCGGCATAGTATCGGCCGTTGCGCTCACTTGGGGAGTGAATCATCGGACGGAAGATCTTCCTCTCTGTCTCTCCTCTCTGTATATCCGCCTTTCCAATGAAAAAATAATAAAAATAAATCTTTAAAAAAAAAAAAGAAACTTGTATTACAAAGTACTAACATTACAAGACAGATTATTGGTTTTTTTCACGCTCAGAGGATTATGGATTTTTCATCTTTTGCAAATGAAATAATTTTAAGTTGAAAACAATCCTAGACCCATATAGCCAGGCATGGTCTGAATCCCTTAGTTCGAGTATTCCTGTCCAGTAGCTACAAGTTCCTCTTAGCTTAAATGCTTAGAATCAGAAAGGAAGAAACTTTGGAACTTTCTGTTTATAAAAGAAAGGAAATAGCAGTGAGGGACAGGAATAAAGTAAAATAAAAAAAAAGATAAAGCTTTGGCAGGACACTTGGACATTTGTATATAAAAATCAAACAAAAGATAAACAAGAGATAAATATGTACATGAACATGTACGCACACACATAGGTACCTACACACATCCGCATGCTACAAGGGTTTCCCGGCGACAAAGCTGGAACATGGTGCTGCACTGCCCAATCGGACGCTAACATAAACCTCAAGATGCAATGTGTATCCTGTCCCCAGAAATAACAGCCTGCCAGCTGGATGCACCACTGCGATTGGTTCGAGCGCACGGCATTGTCCTCCCGTCAGCGCGAGTCAGCGCAGGACACGAGCAGGCTCCTCCGGGAGAAGCGGGAGAAGCGGGAGAAGCGGGTCCCAGCAGGCCAGAGCACGAGGAAGACGTGGGGCGGTGAACGAGAGGCTGTGTGCTATGGTAAACGCCTGTGGGTGAACACAGTCAATGTTATTAGCAGGAAGCAACTGGACCTAGCGGAGCCCAAGCGCTGCTTCTGCTGCTCAGCCAAGTGGATCGGCTTTGTCTCCGGTGACTTTCCGCAGAAGCTGAGCTGCAAGCACAGAGGACCAAGCAAAGCCAGAAGGCTGCTGGCACCTATGGACTCGGGTCTCTCCGGGGTGTTGCTAAGAGGGACGATTTGCACACGGCACAAAGTCCAAAAGGTACAAAAAGCGTAGCAATGAAAATCACTATTTCTTTTCCATTTTAAGACTTGTCTTTATTGGAAAGTCAGACACACAGAGAGGAGGAGAGACAGAGAGGAAGATCTTCTGTCTGCTGATTCACTTCCCAAATGGCCACAATCTGAAGCCTCCTCCAGGTCTCCCACATAGGTGCAGGGTCCCTAAGGTTTTGGGCCATCCTCGACTGCTTTCCCAGGCCACAAGCAGGGAGCTGGATGGGAAGCAGGGCTGCTAGGATTAGAACTAGTGCCCATATGGGATACTGGCATGTACAAGACAAGGACTTTAGCCACTAGGCTACGGCACTGGGCTCCAGAAGCACTGTTTCTTGTACCTGTGTTCTCCCACCCTCTGGGCTCTTCCCCGGACATGATCATCAGTATTCAGGGGTGGACCTTCAGCAGAGCAGTTAAGAGGTTGCTTCAGATACCTGAACCCCATTACCTGTGTGTGTGGGTTCAAGTCTCAGCTCTGCCTTCAATCCCTGCGTCGTGCTACTGTGCACCCTGACTCCCCCTCGGAGACCCCTGGCTTCAGCCTGGCCAGTCCCAGGCATCCCAGGTATTTGGGGAGTGAGCCAGGTTCTATATTTCTGGGTTTCCAGGTTTTCTTTAATAAGTAGGGACCAAGTTTATGATTAGAAACATTTTGGAAATAAGCAGGGTTTTTTTTTTTTTTACCATGAAAACAACTCAGAGATCTTAAAGCTGTTTCGCCATTTAGAAAACAAAATCACTTCATGCTTGAAAATATTTGCTAGCATGTGGTTACATTTTTTAAAAACGGTAGCCAATTTCGTATCAACTCTCATTAAAATCGCAGCACCTGATCAGCTACTCGAACTCTGAAAACTGGCAAAACCTCAGTGTGAGTCACAGGAAGCAGGTCGTTTGCTCTGGAATCTTCCTTCAAATGTCTTCATCATTTGCATGATGACCCCACAGGTGTATGCAACTCAACTATATTAACATCAAGAGGAGCCCCAAGCTGGAGAGTGGAATCCAGGCCAGCTTCACTGAGCAGTTACGAAGGAACCCTCCAGCGGAGGCTGAAAACTGCTGCAGGCCAGCCAACTGCACCTTCAGGCTCTGAGCTGCTCACAAGACAGAGGAACCCACATCCTTCTGGCAACTTCCATCTCTGAGAAAACACTTGGAACTCCCAGGCGAGAAGAAGCTAGCCAAAGTGCTTATTGATCTTGATCGAATATCTAATTTCAAAAGGCCCCACTGAATTGTTTCCCAGCTGTCAGCAGATCAGAAACGGAGGGAGCACGGAGAAGCCATGAGGGCTGGGGAGGGCAGGGTGTGGAGGCGTAAGTGATTTAGCCAGCCGGGTCCCATGGCCATACATGGAATAGCAGACAAGAGCAGAGGAAGAGAGGGGAAAGTTAAACAAACCCGACTTGGGTCACTCCACGTTGTACAGCTCACACACTTCTTGAATGATTATACCACACCTCATTCAATATGTGCCACTGTCAGCTTTCAATTCTCTAATGAAATTAAAAAAAGCGATCCAGCATTCCCAGAGGCTACCTGTGCTGAAGTCAGTCTTCACCATTCCTGGTAATGACCTTGCTGTGCAACGGGAGAGAGCAGTGAAAATAGGGACAGATGTCTTTGTTTGAGGAAGCAGATGTTATCTGGTTTTGCTGGTGGGGCCGGGGCGAGGAGGGCAGCGTGCTCTCTGAGCTGGTGAGAGCTTCCCAACCATTCATTCATGCTTTCGTATTTTCCCAATATTATGTAACTTACACGTCTTTTTTTTTTTTTTTAAAGGAAAGACTTTATCAAAGACAATAACAATGATATAAACGCTGGGAGGGGCAGAGCAGGGTAATGCCACCTGTGATACCAGCATCCCGTAAGGGCACCAGTTTGCATCCCGGCTGCTCTGCTCTTTGCTGTTCCAGCTGGGAAAGAAACAAACGCTGGCCCGAGTGCTTGGATCTCTGCATCCCACTTGGGAAATTTGGATGGAGTTCCAGGCTCCTGTTTTTGGCCCGGCCCAGCCCAGCCCGACCATTATGGATACCGAGATCCTTCTCTCTCTCTTTTTTTCTCTCTCCCCTTATCGCTTTTGCAACTGCCTTTTAAATAAACCTTTTTTTTTTTTTTTTTTTTTTTAAAGATTTATTTTTATTATTTTTTTATTGGAAAGGCGGATATACAGAGAGGAGAGACAGAGAGGAAGATCTTCCGTCCGATGATTCACTCCCCAAGTGAGCGCAACAGACCGATACTATGCCGATCCGAAGCCAGGAGCCTCTTCTGGGTCTCCCACGCGGGTGCAGGTTCCCAAAGCTTTGGGCCGTCCTCAACTGCTTTCCCAGGCCACAGGCAGGGAGCTGGAAGGGAAGCGGGGCTGCCGGGATTAGAACCGGCGCCCATATGGGATCCCGGGCGTGCAAGGCGAGGACTTAACCACTTGCGCCACCGCGCCGGGCCCCTAAATAAACCTTTAAACATTTTTTTTCACATGCTGAATATAGCTCTGATTACGGAACGTTTTGCAGTGCTAACAACCACAGAAATGCAGAGCAGACTCATGGTTACCAAGGGTTAAGCAGGGGCTATGGCGGAAGAACGTGAGTGTAGATACAACAGGACAGCACAGGAAACCCCCTGGGGACCAGTGTGCTCCATCTTGGCTGAGCCGACTGATGCCAGCATCCTGTAGTGATGCTGTTAGGAACCAGTGCACTGTGGCTTATTGGGGGAAAATGTGCCTCCTGTGGCACCGGTACATAGCAACCCATACTGGTCCCTGTTGGAATCCCAGCTGCTCCACTTCTGATCCAGCTCCCTGGCACTGGGACCCACAATGCACCAGAGGATGGCCCCAAAACTTGGGCCATGTGGGAGGTCTGGAAGAAGCTCCTGGCTCCAGACCAGCGGAACATCTTCCTCTCTCTGTCTCTCCTTTTTTCTCTCTATAACTCTGCCTTTCAAAAGGATAAATAAATCTTCAAAAAGAGACACTGGCATGGGGGGAAACCTGTAAAGGGTATATAGGCTCTCCATAAAGTGCTTAAATAAAGAGTTTTATTTATTTATTATGAAGATTTATTTGCTAGGCAAGACGATGTGGAGTTGGGAACGATTTTCCATTTGTTGGATCGCTCCTCAAATTATTTGTGTTTTCGGTGTTTTTTTTAATTATTTTTTATTTTTGAAATTTACCATACAATTCTGTATAGTCCAGGATTTCCCGCTCCCCAATTCCCCCCCCCCCCATTGATTTTTCCCATAATGTCACAACTCTTCACAAGGAGTTACCATTCCATCAGTGTGCTATTTAAGTGTGCCCCGACATTGCTGGCACAGACAGCGTCAGACAGTCCAGCATCCCATTGTCTAGACAGATCCAACACTTTCACTGCAGCCCATCTTTTGTTTGGAAGCAGAGATGCAGGTCGCATTGTGCCTTCACATCTGGAGATGGTAGTCTCCGTTGCTCCATCACTATACGTTCCAACTTACATAACGATTCCTTATATTAGAGAGAACATATGGTATTTCCCTTTCTGTGATTGGCTTATTTCACTGAGCATAATGGTCTCTAGTGGAGACCGTCTAGTTGCAAATTGTATAATTTCATCCTTTTTCGTGACTGAATAATATTCCATGGAGTAGATGTACCATAGTTTCTTTAGCCATTCCTCTTTGGATGGGCATCTGGGTTGTTTCCATGTCTTTGCTATTGTAGATTGTGCTGCTGTAGATATAGGATTACAGATCCCCTTCTCATATGTAGTTTGAATTTCTTTTGGGTAAATTCCTAGGAGTGGGATAGCTGCATGGCACTCCTCAAATTGTTGAAACCAGGAACCAAGAGTGGGTCTCTCAAGCACTTGGCCCCTCTTCCATTGCTTTCCCCAAGCCATTGGCAAGAAACTAGATCAGAAGTGGAGCAGGCAGGACACAAGCTGGTACCCATAATGCGATGCTATTTTCACAGAGAATGGATTTCCTCACTACCCACAATGGTGGCCCCACAAAAAAGAATGCACAAGTTAACAAAGTGTTGTGGGATTTTTTTTTCTGCTCAAATGCATCTATTTTTAAAAGTCACTTGTGGTAAAACACATCCCCTCTTGGTCCCAGATAACTGACACAGCATTACTTAGGACATTCCACAGAAGCCGACGAAGCTTTGCAGGCTGTGGCTAACACCGCTGCCTCTCACACCTGTATCCACACACTCCAACCAACCAAGCAGTCAAAAGGTTTGAGGGGAAAAAAAAAATTGCTCCACTGAACACGAACCGTTGCGGGGGTTTGTTTTTGTTTGTTTTTGGAAATGCAACATTACAACTATTTACACTGTGTTTAGGAGTTGCATTTGGCAGAGGTCTACAGCACAGTTACATGCAAATATCATGCATAGTTGCATGCAAATACTGTGAGGTTTATCTTAGGGACTTGCACATGTGTAGATTTGGGCATCTCCAGGCATCCTGGGTCCCCACCCTTCCCCACTGTGCCAAACACCAAGGGACAGGTGTTTACCGATGCTCCAGTTGTGGTGACCAAGCACTACAGCTTTGGTCCCGGCATGAAAAGCAGGGCTGTCTGTGCCTCAACTGCTACAATTCCCCACACCAATAACCTCACCACATCCACTCCCACCACCACCACTACCCCCCAACACAAAAGCATTTCCCTGCCATTTGGACACCTAGTTGTTGCCAACCATTTTTCTGTCTTCCATAAAAAAAGAAAGTAAGTGCTTGGAGACACAGCCCGTGGCTGCCAAAGCGCACAGGACGCTGCACTGCTGCCGGCGCTCCGGCCATCTTCAGAAGCTGACCAGCAAGCATTAGGAGAAGGCTGTTGGGATGCAGCTGGTAAATTACAAGTTACCGCACACACCATGAGTCAAACCTTGCCCGCTGCGATGCAACTGCATATTCTTGAAATAGTTCAGCCTTGAGGTCTAGAAGCTGATTTATTTTTGGTTTCCCCAGTTGAAGCCACGGTGCCGTGACTCCGTCACTACCCTGGCTGGGGTGCACGGGGAGGCGCACAGAACTGTAACCCAGGAATCCTCCGGACACTGCAGGCCCAAGAAGGTGATTCCTGCTGCTCACACCTGTGGGGAGCTGGAGTGCCAGTGAGACAGTGGTGCAGAGCAGGGCCTTCCAGTTCTGTCCTACATCCCCCAGCACGTGGATGCAGGGGCCCAGGGGCTTGAGCCATCTTCTCCTGCTTTCCCGGGCCGTAGCCTGGGAGCTGGATCTGAGGCGGAGCAGCCGGTGCCAGGGTGGATGATAACACCTCAGGCAGAGGCTTGGCTTGCTATGCTACAGCACACACCCTGCCATTTATAGTTTTATAACAATTCATTTCTTCATTTTTTTTAAAGAAGCACACAGAGAAAGAGAGTGTGTTTTTCCATCTGTTGTGGTTGCTCCCCAAGCAACCACTTCCAAGGCTAGGTCTGGGAGCCTGGAAAACAGTCTAGGTCCCTGAGTGGCAAGGACCTCATTACTTGAGCAATCCTTGGCATCTGCATCCGGTTGCCTAGTGCAGCTCCCTACCTCTGTAACTTGTTTATTTATTTGACAGAGTTACAGGGAGGGAGAGAGAGAGAGAGCTTCCATCTGCTGGTTCATTTCCTCAGATGACTACAATTGGTGAGTCTAAGCCAAAACTTAAGTCAGGAGCCGGGAACTTCTGCTGGGTCTCCTCTATGTGTGCAGGGTCCCAAGGCTTTGGGCCGTCCTCCAGTGGCTTTCCCAGGCCACAAACAGGAAGCTGGGTGGGAAGTGGAGCAACTGGGACACAAACTGGCACCCATATCAAACACTGGAGTTATAGGCAGCAGCCTCATCCCCTGCCCCATATCAGCCCTACATTTTTAAAAATCCGTATTCTGTATTGTAAAGTCAGATACACAGACAGGAAGAGAGACAGAGAGGAAGATCTTCCACCCATTGAATCATTCCCCAAACAGCTGCAATGGTTGGAGCTGAGCTGAACAGGAGCCAGGAGTCTCCTCTGGGTCTCCCAAGCAGGTGCAGGGTCCCAAGGTCTTGGGCTGTCCTCAAGTGCTTTCTCAGGTCACAAATTGGGAGCTGGATGGGAAGCAGGGCCACTGGGCTTAGAACCGGCGCCCATATGTGATTCTGGAGTGTGCAAGGCAAGGACTTTAGCCACTAGGCTACCGCACCGGGTCCAGCCTGCATTTTCTAACCATAGGTTGAGTGCTGACAAAGTTCTGCGGACTGTTAGTGCAATATGTTCTAAAACCAAGTTGTTACCCGACTCCTTTAAATGTATCCGTGGCCTCTAAGTACCATTGAAATTTGACACCATCATCCATTTTTAAAAATGAACAGGCTGCTCTGTGACAGAAGTGTTAGCTCACTGCCTTTCCTCCTTGAACTTTCCCTGCATCCCACTTCCGCCGCAGAGCTGGATCCAAGAGTCAGATGTTTTTATACTGGAGCATCTTCTATTGATTTCTCTGTCGGTTTTTCTCAAAATAAAAATGCACCCACAAATTGATTTTATGATTTTTCAAAA